ACCCATATCCGTAGAATTTGTGTGGGTAGCTTCGCTTGAACCGCCGGATAGCGTTCTTGATGGTTCAGCTTTTTGGCTTACATCACTAGGACTATCATAATTAACATTATCGTTGCATTACATCCCACATTAAATATAAAATCGATTACCATTGTCGAACAATTAAATAGTGTTTTCTAATACACATATGATGCTTTATATAGAAAGAAATTAGAATATGTAGTCTATTCGGCCTGTTTCTTGTATCGAATCGCCTTTTTTCTTTCTCGCAGACTTCTAGTGTCTCATTGAAATTTCCATCATCTTTACTCAGTTTCCCTGTTGCTGTAGCTGTGTGTCAGTTTTGTCCATTCATCCGCACACAATCCACAATCCACCAGCATACCCGTGTCTCAACGAGTTGGCCAGCCATCAACACCAATGACCACCGTCGGACCAGAATCAGAGCAGACGACAGACGACCAGGCCATCACTATCGCTATTTTCGCCATAACCTCCTCTCCTATTTTTCATCACCTCCTTTGGCCTCCTTTTTTCGTCCTTTTCCCTCCTTTCTGCTTTTCTTCCGTCACCTCCTCCTCCTCCTCCAAAAGTCTCTCCACTTTCGACCATTAATTCACCACCAACTCCTTTTTTCTTTTGCTCCTTTTTCTCTCGCCCTCATCTCCTCCTCATCCTCGGCCCTCCTGGCCGTGTCGACGCTCGTTGGAAGGTTCGTTTATTCGTGGCTCTAAAAACAGAACGAAAAGGAAACAGCGCAACAACAACAACAAGAACAACGACAACAGCAACAACAACAACAAAAACTCAAATTAATATAAAAATACCCTTTCACTCAAAAAATTGCGTGGAATCAGACTCAAATGCTTGTTCGTCTTCTTGTGTGCGTGTTCGAATGTACATAAATGTCTGTATATTAGCGCGTTTGGCTACATGCACATCCGTTCTAAACTATATAGAATCCATACATAATAATGCTTGTGTGTCTGTTGATAGAATTGCGCAAGGAAGCTCATTACTCGATGAAAAAATTAACGTAACTGTGAGCTGACAGGTACATGTATACAGCGCACATGCTAAAGGCGCCTTACATAGGAATCGATTAGTTGCCGTCAAATATAATGGCTGTGAAATGCGTTTCTATTGGCGCACAATTCTGATAACCTACTACATCTACGTTGGCTGGAAACTGAATTCCGGTGTTTACAAATGTATCTGCAATTACTAAAGAAGCACGTCTGAGCAGTTCATTGTCGCTTAAAGTCAGTACAAATTCGAGGAAACTCGTGACAGCTAACGATCGGTGAGTATAGAATATTTTAAAGAAAAAAAAGTATGAAACAATCGACCGCTATTTATATCATAGACTACGTGAATTTTCCGAGTTTTACACCCGGCCCAGTCATCAGCTATTTCATAATGTGGCTAGCTCCCATTTCGAGTCGAAGTATGTGTATGACCGAATTCGGACCAAGACCACTGCGTCTTCCTAAGCTTTGCACCCAAATACGTTACCCTATCACAACGCCACCATAGAGTATTGCATAGTGCATTGTTCTGTGTATGTGCATGTGAAACTTTGTTTGCAAAAACCGTTCTATAAATGTACAACCTCATGTCTGCCTATTTAAAAATTGAGTTGTTTTCTAGTACATCTGTGTGTGACTACTCAACATGACCACTAAGCTTAACTGACAGAAGAACCAATTGCGGGTGATAATAATAATTGTGGCTATTTGTGCTATGCGCACCGTTCCAATCGAGCGTATTCCCAACTATTTTCCTAGCAATCATCGGCTACACCATGCGAGACGTACGAAGAGGCCCCTTGTCAAAAAGTCGCAATTTGGTTATAAAAATCTGCTACCCAGCTCGACTCCACAGCAGACATGTCTTCAGTAACAATGCTAGTACTTCTGTCGGTGATAGGGCTTTTTATCAGTAGCAGATGGGCTTGCCGCATTATGCAGTGAGTGTTTTCATTTATTATGGACAACTAAAGTAATTTTCTCGCAAGCAAGTCGACTCCAGAGTCAGCGTCATTAACAAGCAAAAGATTTAATTTTTCTAACGTTGATTCCAGATGGAGGAATAGTAGTTCAAGGTTTTTATGTAATTCCATTTTGTTTTAAATTTAAAACGAGTGGCAAGCTCTACATATTACTATACTATTTCTATGTCTATTCCTAAACGCCACTATTTATGATTTGCAAGAGTGGCACGTCTGATGAGTCCCCACACTTCTTTCGATGAGGGAAAAATTTCAAAAACTCATTAGCTGATGCTTGTATTCACAATGTACATCAGGGCCATTTGTTATTATGCGATCTTGACAAATCAATGCTGAAAATTTCTGACAGCCTCATGGATGTGACGCGGTAATCGAGAACACACAGTGTGGTCACCCCACGACGAACGATCTCGTCCCGACATTTTTATCACAGCCTGGATTGAGAAAAGCACAATCGAGTAATAAGTCTAGCCCTCTACACGTGTAGATTTGTGTAGTTTCGATCATGCTTCGAAGATGACGATACACGGCGCAGCATATGTTAGCGTCGATTTTCTCAAACAAGCCTGTACTGAGATTAGGTTCGGTATCGCACATCACAAGCTTCGATATCGTAGACACCAGCGTTCCAGCAATCAAGTGGAGTACGAACGCCTTCTAGGCAGCCATATACCTACCTACCATTTTTTCTGATATGTAATTTTTTGATTTACGGCTTCTCAAAGTAAGTTGGAAGTGAAACATGCTTGCCCACTAGTTGCTCCTCTTAGGGCATGGAGGGATCACACGGACTTAGGCCGGTTGAATTAACGGTTCAAAGCTAGCGTTTGATATTTTTTACTTAATACAGCAAGTAACTGAAACATGGCGATGAAGTTTGGCGTTGGCACCGACTGCGTGCTTTCGAATGCAGAACCAACGGTCCACGAATCTCTCAAGGAACTCCGAAGTAGCGGGCTGCATTCGTTATTTCAATTTCCTATCTTAAAGTAGCACATGCCCTAATGTTCCTTGCAACTTTTACAATGCTATCAACAATGTTTGAGCTATAATTTTATAACACGTTGCATGTGAAATGTTAGTTTTGGCCAACAGAGCCCTCGGCTCTAAACTCTGCACTCATGAACTGCAGCAATGCATGCCCTTCCTCTGGGTGGTCACTTTACTAAACTTCAACACTCCAATCCGTTTGTACCATTTGCTTAAGGCCCCCTTGCCTAATGTCTTCACCGATCTTCGATTAATTTCCGCAGCGCGCGGTCTTTGAGGAATAAAGGCCTGACCACAGAGTGGTAATTTTCAATATTAAAAGATATTTTCCTTTTTGACTTGTCTCTCCGTAAATGCAACCAGTTTTTTTCTTACAAGTTCCTAGAAGACTGAAATATTTTCCAGCTAAATCATGTCTGCTAGCGAAGTTACTCAATTTCGAAACCCGCTGAATTCAATTGTAAGTACATAATATTTGGGTGTTTATAAACGTCTTGACTTGTTCGATAACCCGTTTGCTCAGCAAAGCATCGTTTGCAATCATGTACGATACATTAACAAAATGTATAACACGCAAGTATCAAAAAAGCGTGACCAAAACCACTCATCAGAAAAGTAGAAAAATTTCCATTAAAAAATAGGTTAACATATTTTATGATTGTAAATGGCATAGTTTCGGTCAAGTTATCCATATTCGATGTGAATACGCGAAACATACCCTTAACGAAATTATCTATTTAAATTAGGATGTTAAAATCGAAAAATTATTAAGCATGCTTGCACCAATTGGCGCAGTTAAGATGTCCTTCAAAAGCCTGATTCTTTTTTTGAATCCCATTATTAATTCAAGCAATTTCCGAATGAGGGCGCAACTGTGAAAATATCGACAAATAAAGGAAGGCCCAGAAAGCACAATCATGCGACCGTAAAACACTGAATAATGTTTTACTTTTTTGACCTTTTAAGGTTTCATTTAATTCACTAAGAACAATACTCCTTTCCGCATCATCACGACGAAATGCAGTAGGTCAACTTCTACCGATTTTTATCCAAGCACTCAAAAGGGCTTTTTATGATGTACGTGTGTAGGTCAGCTTTTGCTTCAATCGTCACAATAGGCTTCTCTTTATTATTACTTTTACACAGCTATGGTAAGCCTATTCTAGAACTGAGGGGCCGAAGCAGGTGAGCTGCCAGATCTTTTAAACGTAATCTCTTCTGGCTGCTTGAGCGAAACTCACGAAAGATGACACATTAAATATAGTCAGAAAATGAGATAGCTGTTGGGAAGAGAGCGCAGGGTTGTTTCTCTTCCCAAAACCGTTTCCTTTTTTTACTCTTTCTTGCTATTGATGTTGCTGTGCGTTAGTCGTTATTGGTATTTATACGGTACCAGCTTGCTGCTGTCAACTGTTGTGGCAGTTGCGGCGCAACGGGCAAAGACTTCACTCTCTCAGTCATGGGTGCCGCCCGCGTAGCAGTGTGCATTATGCCTTAAAAATAGCAGCATACGGATTCACTGAGTTGAAACATACATAAATTGAAAGCGTACGAACTTGAAAAATCTAAAGCCGTATAGAAATAGGCGATAAGACGGTAAGTGAAGGACTACTTTTCTTTATCAGGGAGGAAAGTAGATCCCTTGTCTCCGCCACCGCTTTCGTCGAGGCCACTTAGAAACCTGCCAAATTGACGCACACTGAGGCCTGGACTATATTAGTATTTTAGGTTGGTGGGTAACTTGGGTATGACTTGGATGTCGCGCGGTTAGGTAGTCACTTTCTTCTTTACCTTTACTTATAGTTGTACGTATAAGAGTTCGACCAGCAGGCAACTTTTGCCAACGAGGTCTGACGGCAGGACCACGCTTTCCCGTACTTATTTTCTGTTAGCTGAGTAAAAACGAAAAATCAAGTGTAACCAATAGAGCACAATAATCGATTCAATCGGTGTAACATTCTCTAATTGGTCTTAAACTGTAACTAATTTGAATACATACCTCAGAGGCGTTGCGGTTTGGACCGCGCTGGCTGTCGCCCTGTGCGCCGGCTTGGCCAGGTTGACCCTCTTCAGGACAGTCCCGAAAGATGTGACCTGGCTTGCCACACCGGTAGCAGCTCTTATCCACCTCAGGACAGTCGCGCGCGATGTGTCCCGTTTTACCGCAATTGTAGCACGACATCTCACCTAGAGGAAACAATTGCGTCATAAAACAATTTACAACTCACTCTTTTTTCGAAAGATTCCACGCAATACATGAAAATCGATTTTTTTTAAAACTCAGTAACAAAAGAAAAGTCACAGAACATGAGTAAATTTCGTTTAGATATATTTCGGACACATACTTGCAAGAAAAAACGATGCGAAAGTATTTTCCTTTTATTTATTTTATACAGATCTCTGGGTTACAAAACTATAGATTACAAATCTTATATTACAAAACTATAGATTTTGCTTAATAAATTACGAATTGTTAACTGGAGAATGGGCTCCATCAGGCTTATCTGATGAGTGTCGAAAAATCAGATCTGGTATGATTTTTCAACAATTTTTTTTCTAGGGTTTCAAGAGCCCTTTATTTAGATACTGTACGGAACTGGGTCGATTAATCTAAGGTAAGATGTTACTAGTTAAACCACTATATTATAATTATGAATTAAGCACTGTTTTATACTATTATATATTCAATATTATAATCAAAATTATTATATTATATATATGTATATTATATATATATATACATTATATGTCTCTTTAACGAGAAAAAAACTAGCATCCAAGGCCGCTTATTTATCAAGCAAGTAGAGATCTCTTCCACAAGAAAAGGCTTTACGGGCTTCTATAAAGCCACCCGAATAAACCATCGTAGCACGGGCCGCTTAGATGGGTAGGACCTCTGCTTTCACACCGACAAATTCTCTTGCGCGAAAGGCGGCAAAAAATGCAGTTTTTACGCCAAAGCAGTCTTTTCGCGGGTCGTTTCGTTCGTCTAGTTTGTCTGTCCGTTGTTAGACGGTCCATCATTTCGTTGGGTATTGGGTTTAGAGGGCATGCGTCTACACACGGTTTAAGAGCTAAAGGGACGGAGAAAACCACTGAGCAACTGAAATTGCAGTTGAAGAAAAGTTGGCCCCTTTACAACTATTCTCCCATTCTGTGCAGCGCCTGAATTGTCCCGGCCTTCATCTTCTTTTTTGAAACATGGAAAAGACCGCAGAATTGGTGGTGGCAGCAAGAACGTTTCCAGTTTTTCTTCGCCCTCGGTTTGATAATAAGTGAAATTGAACACCCATGAGCTTTTGTCGAGCGACGAGTCACGAACCCAAGTCGGGAAATTCGACCAGCAGCCGTGGACCGCTAAGAAAACGCAGATCTCGTGGTGGCTAGCCTTTCGATAACCCGTTCCGATGTCGCTTTGCCGCAGACCTTCTGTCTCTTGGGAAACGTTTTAGAACGTGCATAAACGCCATTTCTCAGCTCCATCTCTTCATTGCCAGCTATCGCATGGCAGTACAGGTGTTGCCAGGGTTGATCGCCGCTCACCAGCCAACTTGAACTAAAGCGTAACATCATTTTAACCTGGCAGTGACGGAGCGGGGGCAGAAGTAGTAGCAATCCAATGGAAACCACGGCCGTAATTCGACTGACCTACTCTTTGCAACGTAATCATCGTAAGCAGTAGAAACGGTAACTCACTATTTCTCCATTCGCTCAACTCAGTTTAGTTCACATTTCTCATTTGTTCCGCGCTCCGTTTGATGATGGTAGTCCTCCCCACTTCCCGAGTGCTTATCGCTCTTTCGCCATTTCACTCGCTCTCACTTATACTAACACAACCTCTTTGTGTTGGCGTCGGGTCTGCATCGCTCGCGCTCCATTGAGATCAAATTGTTTTTTAGGTTTTAGGTATAGCTGGCGTGGGCTGGCTTTCGCGAGTGGCTAAGTAGACGAAGACTTGAGCTGACACAATGCGATTGCTGGGCAGCGGTAGGGAAAGTACTGGCGCTGTCAACGGAATCGGACGATACGAACGCCCACGGCGATGGCTACGACCGCTTAGAGGTATAAATGAAAAAGCAGGAGTCCACTGTCGATAGAAGCTAGCAGCGCAAAGGTGCAAACGCAACTGATCCCATCCGAAACTACCTGCTCGAATGGTCCTACGCGTTATTATCTATCCTTTTCTCCACTTCCCGTCCCCATCACCGGTTTATCCTCCCTTTCCCTTCACGAAAATTAAGTGTCCAAAAATAAGTGTATTCTTTCTGACAAGAATTAACTGGTTGCTCCCGAGTATCCGCTGCCTTTTGCGATATGACCAACCAGCATGCATCCGCAAACGTTCACGTCATAAACTCCCCGGTAGCGGCCTAACGTTTTGTTCGGACGCTCTGTTGTGAAGCTTCATCGTCCGTTATATAAGTGGCCTTGTCTACGTAGTTCCATGGCGTCACTTTTTAAGCGATTCCGCATTATCTCCCCTATGGGCACGTCCGTCTACAAGATCCTCATCGTCAGCGTATGTTTAACGACTAATCGCAGACGACAAATCGGTCCAAAACTTTGCTCATTTCGGCACAGCCATCTGTTGCTGTATTTATCCCTTGAATAGAACCTAACTCACAACAACGGCAAACGGCGGAGGACTTTGAATTATCCAGACCTGGAAGCAGTCATATTGAACGGCAGACTCTGCTCACAGAGCGCATCATATAATACCTATTTACAAATTTCAGTTTTCCGCTAGAATTTCGAATAGCTTAGATATCCCGCAGGCTATATACGTTATAAGTCCTCACGCAAGGAAGCATGCATGAATTAATGGAAAAAATTCAAGGCAGCAAATCAAAAGCCGTAATCGCGCTCGTCGTAGCAGAGGATGCAGTGTTTGTTAACACTCCCACGATGAATAATCTATGAGATAGGTAGAAATACTTGACTCGATTATGTGGCGATCTAACTCAGTTATCTCTTATAAACAGGCTGTTTTTCTGCAGTTGTTGGCGTGGTCGTCGTCATGTTTTCTTTTGAACAGAGACCATTATTACGTGTGTCAAAAATTATATACAGCCCAAGTGGAATTGTATCAGAAGGTCACCATCGTTTAGAACAGATATTGATAATCAAAATTGAGATAACTTGGTTTGGTAAACTTATTTTGTTTTTACGGCTTTGGTTTTACGGCAAGACACGGTATTTGCGCTATCCGCCACCTGAAGGTAGCAATCAAGCATTTTATCTGACGTCCTTCAATATGATAATGCAAATTAATCGATTGCAAAACCAATCCGTTATTGTGTCCCACCACTGAGAGTTACAATACTTATAAATAAGCACAACGCTTGCTTTACTTAACTGATCGACAAGAAAACATGTTCATACACTTGCATATCCCGCCACTGTCGTGGTATGTAATACGGAGTTCTTATGTTTACGATATAACACTACAAATTGTCGCTGTTGAAATGTTTGCAGATAGATAGGGCTGAAATTAAGCAACGAAAGTGAAAAGCGGTGAATAGACTATCTACCGTAAATCTGAATCGCGCACTTATAAAGGCACGTATTGCTTAACAATTCGAGAGGAGAGAACACTTCAGAGAGGGATGAATCGAGTGGAACTGCAGAATACGTGTGACATCCATGTTAAAAAGCTACCAACGTACAGTGTTAGCGCCAAATCGGCCACCGTCGTTTGTTGTTTGCTGGCAGCGTTGCTGCTGATGCTATAACAGACACCACCATTCTGTACGGCATCGTCGTCGAAATCTACGGTCCTCCGATTCGTACGCCGGCCAGCTCGTCGTCAACAGAGAAAGGCCGGTGCAGCACAGTTCGTCATCAAGAGATAGGTTGCCAGACGTGATAGACACCTAGGACACACTTAAGCCGTCGCTTACGGCATGGCAAATGGACTTTACTTATGTATATGTTTTCTTAACCCCGTATTCGAGGAACAAGCAGTAATGGCATACACTTATCCATGCATCCAGGTAGGCAAGTGGAACCGCTGCCACAGGCTTATTATGTAGGTTATACTGCTTCACTTCAGTAATAGCCATTCAGCACAATTATACATCTGGCATGCAATGGGTTTATTGTCATTGGTGTCGTTGTTTTATTGAGGCAGGTTTCAGGAGACCGTGGCGTTGGCCGTACCGTACAACTAATGCGACTGTGTCTGGCCTGATCCAGGCTGCTGCGAAAGCGCTACCAGGCATTACATAATCACGGAATCGCATCGGGCGGGCATCATCGGATACCAATCAGAGCAATCGCACCGGGACCTATGGTGGGACACTGACACAGAACTTCATCTTTTTCCCACTTCGTTCTTCCTTTGATGCTGCTAGTGTTACTTGCTCCCTATACAATTAACTTGCGTGAGGGCTACACGAGCAACCCTCTTACAGAAGAAATCTACAGTTGGTCCACTTCCGTAATGCGATGGCCACCTATACAAATAGGTATATATGTGGCTAGATCGCGAAGCTGTAAGCTCGAGCCGGAGATACAAATCGCTCGAAGGCGAGCAAGTGAAGGACTTTACTGCAACTCGCCCAATGGGACGCAGCAGCAGACAATCGAAGCGAGGTGACGCGCCCGCGGCTGGGCACGAGCCCTGTTGTCATGGCTATAGCTGTTATCCAACAGCAGCAATTTGCTTTGTTCAGCTAGAGAACGACCGACCCATCAATTAAGCTATCAAATGCACCTATTGCAGCTATTGGATACAAAAGGATGTTACAGGCATTAGATGTCGCCGTATACCCTTGATTTCTGCCGTTTGTACTAACAGGCACGTACATATATATCGAGTATATATGTACTGGTGCGGCGTGATACGATAAGGGGTGCGGCCTATGGAACAAGTACGAATGACAACCCCCGTATGCGAAAGGCGACAACACACACAATTGTTGCCTTACAAGCTCTGCCTCAAAACGCGGTACCCCGATTACAGTTAACTACTAGAAATGACGTTGGCCGGGGAATTGACAAACTCCCAAATCAGTGCGTGGAGCCAAGTAGCCTCGCAAACTAGCCAACACAAGAACGTAACGCTCATTGTCGAATGAGATTAACGCGTGCAAATAAAAATAGTAGTGATTAAATTGAACTATAATTTACTTTATTCAGGTATCAACTCATATGCGATTCACTTAATTATTTAGATGTTCTTCTTT